TTGTGCTTCCTTGACTATCAATATTACTACCTATTATCTGGGTTCCTATTCTGGGGAAAACAAGAATAGAACCACAGCCTCCCCTACAAGCGTGCTGTAAGGGTCAACTAACAGTGGGGCTTCCTTCGAAGTCAGACTGCATCTGTCTAAGAGGCAAGGAACCAACTGTCTGCATGCAATTAGGATGTATCTGTAAAACTGGTGTGCACACAGCAGTCAGGTTCTGGAAAAAGACTGAATTCCAGAAGTGAATGAACAACAAGAACTTTCTACCTGAGTTTACAGCCGGTGAACGTGAAGAAGAAGACATCAAAGGATAAGGAACAGATAAATTAGCAAAGAGGGGCCAAGCCATATAGACAAAATCTTTATGAAAGGAATTTAATCCTCTTGGCTGCCAAAGTGTTTTTTTTCAAAAATCAAACTTTATGTCATAAAAACCAAGACAAGGGAAATGATGCTACCTCTGAACAATGACACTTTGGGTTTGCACCGAATCATTATTGCAATTTCAACACCACATTTAATAATACAGTTCACGCTTGTTCTCTTATAGCATCACATTTCTAGAAAATATTTCTCAGTCACTGGAATAGCTATATTTTGGTTAGCCACCTTCTTGATCAAGTTCCACCCACATCAAAAAATTTTCATGCAGCATAAAATCCTTACACAGGACTTTGCAAACTAACTCCAGAATTTATTGACTGTTTTGTGTTTTATGCAGGCATTTCTATATTCGCATTTCAGTGAAATTTATTCACTTTTTTACTTTATTTTATGCTGATGTAACTCTGTAGTAAAGCACCTGATGAGATACAGCGAACTATGCCTGGCAATAAATTGTGCAATGTATTGTTTGTATCTGCATTATTTAAATTCATTATGGAAAAACATTGTTTTTAATTTCTATATTTATTAGTTTGCCACTGCTATCTATTTGGTATAACACTCATACTGTTTTCAAAATCAACACAAAGTAGTCTGATTCCAGAAGGTGAGTAAACTAAATTTTAAAAATCAGGCACATCAGGCATATAGTTAAACGTTAGTTGCATATCCTTTACAGGACGTTGCAGAACCAACCCCAGCATTTTTTAGCTGTTGTGGTTTTTCTAAGCAAATTTTACGTTCAATAATTTGCCATTGCCTCTGAACGGTCAGCTCTCAGTACCAGTGTTGAAACCAGAGCAAAAGAAAAACCGTCAGCAACTGGGATAAAACCTGGCACCTCGGCATTACAAAGCTCATTCGCAACGCCTAAGCCACAAACGCCAACAGGAATATAGTGCTTGACTCATATTTATATAGGCCGTACTCGATGGATGATGTGGTCAACATCAAACCGGCTGCACCAAATTGTCTGCAGCTAACTCTGATATGTACAAGGGATGGTAAAAAAAATTAATGCTTCCCAAGTTATATCTATGTAAATACTGTATCTGTGTACAATTTTTAAATGTAGTAGTATTCCTCAAACACTCTGTTGCACTGTATAGCATTAGTAACCTGTTTCAGTAAAAGGTGGCAGCACTGTAACAGTTCAAAAAAGGCTTACAATGAAGTTTGGTTACAACAATGTAATGTCACAGAATTCCTCTATGCTGAAGGTGAGATTCCAATTCTCATCTATTAACTTTTGAAGAATGTTTGTGGGGATTCAACAGTGGATGTTAGCACTGTCCGACACTGAGTGCATCGTTGTGACAAAGGTGAAGTAGGTCAATCCTCAATGGCTGACGCAAAGCAGACTTGCCGTTTGTCTACCACAGTATTACTCCACAAAACATTCACCAAGCTGATGACATCATTTGTGCTGACCGTCAGATAACTGGATAAATTGTATTCCATGTTGTCCATTAGTAAAGGCAGTGTACAGACCATCACTAAATCCCTGGGTTATTCAAAGGCTTGTGCACAGTGGATGCCCAAAAAATGTTGACAGACAGAAATAAAGAAATGAGGATAACCATAGCCATCAACCTCCTGTGCCATTAGGAAACTGAAGGAGAGGAGTTTATATCAAATATTATGACAGGTGATGAGACCTGAGTTAATTTTTTTTTCTTAAACCAGAATCAAAGAGACAGTCACAGGAATTGCATCATACAACATTGCCAACAAGAAAGAAGAAAATTTAAAAGTTCACCATCTGTAGGAAAAGTTATGACCTGCTTGTTTTGGAACAAGAAGGGTGTGATTCTTCTTGAGTTATTTGGACAGGGAAACACCATGAAGGCTGACCATTTCATTGAAACTTTGAAGAAGCTTAGAGGTTGTCTTCTGTGACTTCATCCATTAAAAGATCAGATAACTGTACTGCTGTTGCATGATAAGGTCAACAACATACACCACTAAATGCATCATTAATGTGACTGCAGAATTTGGCTTGGCATTATTACCACATCCCTCTTTCAGTCCCGATCTTGCAACTTTCAACTGCCATTTGTTTGGACCACAGAAAAAAGATCTTTGCAGACATCAATTTCAGAACACCGCAATCCTTAAATGCACCCTACACTGGTGGTTTAGGAAAAAATGGCACACATTTTTACCGTGTGGGGATACATTAGTTAGTTAGTTAGTCTTTCCTCTTGTGTCGAGTGCGGCACATAGGGCAGAGGTCATGACTCTCCATGCACGGCGGTCCGTTGCAATCCGTTGTAGGTCTTGGATGTTTGAGTGGCCCATGAGCGAGCCTTCCCTGATGATAGTTCTACGTAGGGTTTCCCTTGGTCTTCCACGAGATCTTTTCCCCTGTGGTGTCCAGATGAGGGCTTGGTAAGGAAGTCTTGATTTATCCATTCTAAGGGCGTGGCCGACATAGTTCCAGCGGCGTTTTCGTATAAAATTTGACACATACTCTTGCCTGGATTCTTGCCTTATTTGTGTATTGGTTCGGAAATCTGACCATTTGAAATTTAGTATTCTTCTAAGGCATTTATTTTCAAAACTGTCTAATTTTGTGTCTAGAGTTTTCGTTGATTTCCAGCTCTCGCATCCATAGGGTTAGTACTGGAATCACACAAGAATTGAAGATCTTGAGTTTTGTGTGTTTGCTAAGTGTCTTTGATTTCCAGATGTTAGACAGTTTATTGAAGGCACTAGATGCCAGTGCTATTCTAAATGATATTTCTGATGCGGTATCTCCTGTAGATGACATCTTGCTCCCTAGATAAGTGAAACTGTTGACTTTTTCAAGGCTGTTGTTGTTCAGCGTGATATCAACTGAACTGTTGGTAAGGTCTAGAATTTTTGTTTTTGCGGTGTTAATTTGGAGTCCAATTTGTTCTGAGAAATCCTGGAGTCGATTGATTTTTTCTTGGGCGTCTGTGTGTTCTGAACTCAGGAGTGCTATGTCATCGGCGAAGTCTAGGTCTTCCAGAATTTTGTCAACCCATGTAATGCCTAAATTTGCGTTATTTATGCACTTGCGCATGACCCAGTCGATTGCTATACCAAAAAGCATCGGCGATAGGACACAGCCTTGCTTCACTCCTGTTTCCACCGGGAACCAGTCAGAATTGCCGGAATCAGTTCTTACACAGCATCGTGTTTCGTTATAAAAAGATTTTATGATGTTGATATATTTGATGGGGAAACCATAGATGTTAAGCAATTTCCAGAGTGTTGGACGATGGATACTGTCGAAGGGGATACATACCCTTGAGAAAATACTGACAAAAATTGTAACAAATAATGGAGATAAAACTAAGAAAAAATAATTTGAATTCCAGACTTGGGGCTACATTTCAATGTGAACTTAATCTGTTTACTTGCCTACTGAATGCAATTAAAAATTATGAGGAATTACTTTATGAACATACCTCATAACTGCAATCATAACTCCAAAACCACAGACTCTGATCCCCCCCCCCCACACACAAAGTTAACGATATTGTTGCAGTGTGAAAAGCACTGCCTTTATACATTGTCTTTGACAATGATTAACGGATTTTAAAATGTTTTTACAAAAGAAGTATTTAATGGATATACATCTATGACATCTAGTTATTTTCCTTGCCGTTCTTCCTTCCCATAAAATTCTTAAAATTGTGCATTGCCATTTTATGAGGTTCTTTTGACTAAAAGCCATAATGATTAGACAAAATCATTCTACCACTTAGGCCTATACAACTCAGACTGATACAGTGGTTAGCAAATACATCAACCATCATTTAAAAACCCACCATTGTTCAGGCATCACATGATGGTTTATCCATTATTGGTGATGTGGGTTTTATGGGTTGTAGATGGTGCAGGCAACATTAGCATGAAATGTTCTTTGGCAGTGTAGGCATGTAATCTGGGCTCCTATAGTGTAGGCATGTAATCTGGGCTCCTATAGTGTAGGAATGTAATCTGGGCTCCTATAGTGTAGGAATGTAATCTGGGCTCCTATAGTGTAGGAATGTAATCTGGGCTCCTATAGTGTAGGAATGTAATCTGGGCTCCTATAGTGTAGGCATGTAATCTGGGCTCCTATAGTGTAGGAATGTAATCTGGGCTCCTATAGTGTAGGCATGTAATCTGGGCTCCTATAGTTTAGGAATGTAATCTGGGCTCCTATAGTGTAGGAATGTAATCTGGGCTCCTATAGTGTAGGAATGTAATCTGGGCTCCTATAGTGTAGGCATGTAATCTGGGCTCCTATAGTGTAGGCATGTAATCTGGGCTCCTATAGTGTAGGCATGTAATCTGGGCTCCTATAGTGTAGGCATGTAATCTGGGCTCTTATACACTTATAACAGTCATATTTATTTATTTGTTGAACCAGATTGAAAACAAAAAATTAATGATTCACAGTCCATTAAAGGAAAAGTTGATTAAAATTAGATATTTTGGAATAAATATATAAAATTGACAAATATGTAAATGGCCAATGGTTCTGTGACTCAAATATCTGTATAAATTGGATGGAACATTTTTTTCTACAATATGTAACAAAATCAAAAACAAACAACAGCAAAGTCAATTTATTAGTGCTTAAAGAATATAAGAAATTGAAAAATATGTTAGAAAAGGACTCTTTTTCACATAATGAGGAGTGTCTGTGGTGCTAGCTCAAGCTGTCAGAGACCTGTCAACAATCTAGGGTGTGTAGTGTGTTCAGTACAATATTTTCAGAAACAAATGAAATTTGAGAGAAGAAAAAGAACAAACCTACTGACCTTTAGCAATCCAGTTGAAAGTTGGGGTCTCAACCCCCAGCGGGAAACTGGATGGGACAACAAACGAGGTAAAGGCGAAAGACGAAGGGATGAGCCTACTCTCCTCGAGTATGATTACAGTCTACCCTTGCAAAACAAGGTGCTGAAGTCGGAGGCAACCAGCCAGGAGGCGCACCACAGCAATCAGGATGCCACGCACACACGCCATGGAAATATGTCTAAATCAGCAAAATGTTATGGTGCTCGCCCTGTGATGGACTCTCAGGCAGGAGCAGTGCCGGGCCCTCTGCCTCGAAGAGGCCCAAACCAAATTACTGGAGGTCCTTCTCAAATGTCCTGTGGAGCCAGGGGACATGAGAATAGAGCATCTGGCCGAACTAAGAATGGAGTCAAAATAATGCACTAAAATGCGGAGGGGATTACAAATAAAAAGCTAGAGTTAGAAAATATTCTAAATGAGGAACAGATTCATATATGCTGTCTACAAGAAACCCACCTCACCAAGACACAGTCTTCAAAATCAGAGGTTATCAGTGCTTCCGATCAGACAGGATAAAGGGTGGAATTCTGACTCTAGTAAGGAACAATATCACTGTCTGTCAGACTGAAGTATATATGGATGGAGCAGAATATCAGATTCTAAAACTGCAAACTGGAAATGCAGACTTCTACCTGAGCAATTATTACTGCCCAAGTGATCGTCCCCAAGCACTAGACAAAATCCCAGTCGAAGCAAAGATCATTCTATGTGGAGACTTTAACAGCCACTCACAAAGCTGGGGGTACGACCACATAGACCAGAAAGGAGAGATACTGGAAGAGTGGCAGGATGAGAACAGACTTGTTCTAATTAACAGGCCAACTGATCCACCCACATTCTACTTGAGGTCGTGGCACACCACTACTACCCCAGACCTAGCATTTCACTTTTTAGATCTGGAATGGAACAATACACAAGTTGTTGGAAAACAACTGGGAGGCAGTGATCATCGACCGGTCTTCCTGAATGTAGAACATGAAAAGGTCAGAGAAACGAGTACGCTGCCAAGGTGGAACTACAAGAAGGCTGACTGGACAATGTTCAAACACTGTACCAGTATACTGCTTGGAAATCTCAGCGTAGACCAGGATATAAATAAAGTAGTTAAAGAATTTAACAAACGCATACTACAGGCAGCAGGAGATTCAATACCAAGAGGTGCCCGTAAGCATTATAAGCCATACTGGAATAGTGAACTAGAAAATTTACATAACGAAGTGGAAACATCTAGAAAGAAAGCAGAGACCAGGCCAAAACAAGAACATCACAATAACTACCAGCATGCAAAAGCAAAATTTGTTTGGGCAAAGCTGCAGGTTAGAAGGGAAAGCTGGCAGGAGAAAACAAGGTCACTGAACTTTGAAAAAGACACAAGAAAGTTATGGAAGCTTGTAAAACAAATTAATGATGAGGGCACAGGGTGGAACCTGAAGATCACGCTGCTGAAAGATGGAAACATGGTCACAGGAAAAGAGGCAGCCAACCTCTTTGCAGACACTTTTGCATTAGATAATAACATTGAAATCAGTTCAGAGGAAAAACAAGAAATTCAAGAAAAGACACTATTCAGAAGTCAGAAAGAAATAACATCAGAGACGCTAGAGGTGCCACTTACACTTAATGAACTGGAGTTGATCAATGACCTGGTTGCTGAAATACCAAATGGAATCAAAATGGCAATGTATGCCGACAATCTGGTACTGTGGTGCACCGATGAACATGCAACGATAGCCACAAGAACACTACAGCGGGCTACATATGCACTTGAGGCATGGGCCAATAGATGGTGTGTCAGCATCAACACAGACAAATGTAGCACAACACTATTCACCCTCTCCCCAAAGCAAAAAGCCGGAATACCCCCGAGAGATGATAAAGAGCCCACATACCTAGGAGTCACATTTGATGACAGGTTGACATGGAGAAAACATATCAACAAGGCAGCAACCAAAGCCAGGATGAAGACAGCCATACTAAGAAAATTAGTGGAACCACATGGGGAGCAGATGGGAAAATACTCAATAAAGTATACAAGCAGAGCATACTTCCACACTTGGAATATGGGTCAACTGCATGGTGTTCAGCATCTAGTACCACATTAAAGGAGTTGGACAAAGTGCAAAATCAAGCACTCAGAGTCATCACAGGAGGGATGAAATCAACCCCCATATTAGAAATCGAGAAAGCTGGGAAAACACAGGCACTGAAAGAACGCAGAGATACAAAGTTGCAAATACAAGCTGAAAAGTTCCTCAGTATGCCAGATCACCCCATGAAAAATAGATTTCAGAACCTAGCCTTGGGACGGTTAAAAAGAAGCAGCTTTATACATCAAGCAAAAAGAATATGTAGACAAACGGCTGACCTTCCAGAAATTGGTTGTCCTTCTAACAGTATTCCAGAATAAACCCCATGGAGAGAGAAATGCAAACTAACAGTACAAATCCAGACAAATGTGAAAGGAATATTTGACAAGAAAGAACAAGATAGTGCACAATGCAGAATGACCACCCTCAGTTATACTGATGAAGAATACCCACAAGAACAATGGGTCAGAGTCTATACAGATGGGTCCGCAGCAAGTGCAGTTAGAAATGGTGGTGCTGGAGTGTACATAGAATTCCCAGATGGTACTAGGGATAAGTCCAGCGTACCAACCAGAAAGTACTGCCATAACTATGATGCAGAAACTCAGGCTCTCAAGATAGCAACAGAGAAACTGCTAAATACCAATCTTGGCTCCCAGTATGTAGTAATGCTGACAGATGCAAAATCAGTACTTGAAGCACTCCAGTCTAGGAAACTACCAGAATTGCAAACACTGCTGATACAACTTAGCCTTCAGCGAAGAGTTGTAATGCAGTGGATACCATCACATTGTGGAGTGCCTGGAAATGAGAAAGCTGATCAACTGGCAGGAGAAGGTGCGACAAAAGTGCAGCCGGATGTACCAGTCACATACCACCAAAAGAAAAGACTCATTAAATCAATCAGGAAACCACCAGCCCCAGTACAAGACGACTATTTTATTTTGGACAGATCAGAACAAGTCATTATCCTCCGCCTCAGAACAGGGCACAACCGATTATGTAACCACATTCACACAATATTCAAGTTAGGAGTATCAGCCATGTGCACCTGTGGAAAGGTGCCCCAGACAGCAGAGCATGTACTCCAGGACTGCACCGAATTTGACACATTAGGGCAAACCTTTTGGCCAGAAAGAACAACAGTGGAATGTAAATTCTATGGACCACTGAATGAATTAACAACAACAGTGAAATTTATACAAGAGACAAAATTGCTGATATAGACAACTTATTTCAGGCGAACGAAAGAAGAAGAAGAAACTGACCTTTAGCAATCATGTTGTAAAGCTTTACTAATTAAAGGTTTACTGAATCTGAAGGCCTGAAAAGGGAAAATTTTGCAGCCTAGCTGTAAATCAAAACATCCAAATGTCATTTTAAGAGTGAAAGCAGCAGTAGAAGAGGAAGAACCTAGAAGCAAATTGACAATTTGAGACCACAGAAATATTAGTCTCCAAATGCAAATGGACTATTTTTTATACTATAGGAAATAATTTTTTTAAAACAATTTATTAGACACTGAAAAAAAAAAAACTGCTCAACTCAGAATCAGAAAAGAAACAAATAAAACAAAACTGACATAAAATAGTATGAATAGAAAAAATGCAAGAAGGAAAAACTGTCTTTCATTTGTGAATACAAATAAAAAGTATAGGGGAAAAACAATAAAAGGAACCATAAACAGAAACTGGTAAGTTTGTATGTAGCATGGAAACTGCTAGGTTTGTAGCTACTACAAGAAATTGATTTTCAGAAAACAGCAAAAATAATCACGATGTAACAACAACTCATCAAATTTGGTATAAATATTACCTTCACTTTCCAGAGACACTTTGTAAAAAACTAAAATGTATGTATAAACAGTATATAAAAAACACACACACAAAAACTAGAATTTCACAATCTCACAACAATACAATATAGAAGCTAATCATATATTTGCAAAATCTGCAGATAAAGTTATTTAAAAACTATTCACATCTAAGAAATGGAATGCATTATGTCATTTGCCATAGAAGCTAACATGGAAGTTTTTAGGCAGAAAACATTTTTAAAATAAAAAGTTTGTTGCATACTCATTTACAGGGTGTCGCAAACCTGACACAACATTTGTTGGCTTTTTTGTGTGGTTTTACAAGGCAATTTTACATTCAATATTTTGCCGCTGCTTTTGCAATGGTCGATGTTCATATATTGTAAAAATCAATGCAACACTTTCTGCAGTCATATCAACTGCTGCTTAATTGAACCCAGTATGCTGCAATTATGAAACTGCACTCATAATTCCTAAGTCACACGTGCTAGCAAAAAATTAAACACAATAATAATGGTTTTCATTATATAACCGATTAGCAATATATTAGTGTCAAGTATCCACACTTATTAATATTTAAACTTTAAAGTAATGAAAGATGGTTTAAAAATATTACACTGCATTGACATACAAATATAACAAATGTGGTACAAGCAACAACAACAAATAAATACATAAAATATATAAACTATGTCTGCTTGTATGACCTTCATATTGACAAGAAGTGCTCATACTGAATTAATTTATACTGAATTAATTATTATATTGAATAAAAAATAATAATAATATTGACAGCTTTATAAATACTCTCCTCACAAGTCACTTGAAAAAGTGGTTTTGTAATTACATAATTTTTAATGAAATAATATTTGCTGAAAGTAAATTTTATTTCTGCGTGGACTACTTCTGTACCTATGGTGGACTACT